CCCCCCCCCCCAGTGAAAATTCCTTAAAAAAGGCACTGCCAAACTGAAGAGCAAGATGGGAAAATATGACCGGCCAGACAATTGCGAGAAGCTCGCTGTGCCGAAAGTAAACCCTGAGATTTAGTCAAAGCTCAACCATACTGCTCGAGGTGCAGACCTTAAATTGGTCAACTTTCAAAAAACACTCGTCAAAGTTGGGGTTGCTCTAACTAAATCTACTGATTCCCTTGTGAATATCAGAGCAAACATAAGTTCAGACGCTGAACTCAAACAACAACTAGCCGGCCTCGTGACCAACAATACTGACGCCTTGGCAGTGCTCGGTCACGTTCATGTCGAGCTCCTGCTGCGTCGCCGTGAGCTGATAAAACCGAACGTAAACAAGGAATATTCATCCTTATGTTCGTCCCAAACACCGATAACGGAATTCCTCTTTGGGGATGACTTGCAGTCCCGGTTAACCAGTGATAAAGGCTTCGAATAAAATCAGCCAAGAAGCTACGAGCAGCCAGAGTCAAGCCGGCCAGAATGCCTTTCCTAGGCGCCATTTTGACACCTCAAAAGCCCGTCAAAAAGGGAAATCATTTCCTAATAGTAATAACAGCAAGGCTTTTTTATGGCAAGGCAGGGGCAACAATTATCGCCCCTACCAAAACAAGCCTCAATTCCAAGCCAGGAAGAAGAACCAGCATGCCCAGCATTAACTACAACAACGACGTTTCCCGCCATTACACAGGTAAATACTTCGACTTGTAATTCACTTATAACATATTTCCAAAATAAAGTCGCATGCTTTAACGCAGGTCGACTTCGTGAATTTCACAACGAATGGATGTTTATTACCTCAGACGCTGAGATTTTAGACATGGTATTGGGGCAAAAACTTGAATTTTCGCAAAAGCCCTTTCAATTGTTTGTTCCTAAGGAGAGAACATCTGATCACATACAAACACAGGCAGTTGAGGTAGAAATTGAAACTCTCCTTAAGAAAGGCGTCGTTGTTCTTACGGAACATGAAAAGGGGGAATATATTTCCGCTATTTTTACAACAGCAAAAAAGGATGGGTCTGATGGGGGGGGGGGGAGTTCACGGAAAAAAAATTTAGCCCCACCCAAAATGAAATCTGTTCCGCCGCCCCTGCGCGGACACCTTACTTGAGGTCCCAATGGGCAAACCAACCTCTCTTAAGCGGACAGATGACAGATTGTCTGATAAAATGTATTCAATATTCGACAATAAATAACAATTGAGACCAATTTACATGGCACAGTGACACACCAACTTGGCGCGAAGACATCAGAGCCAAGATTATTGAGGAAGTGACGAACGACTTAACGAGGACTGTGAGCCGCCAGCCGAGGAGCCGAAAGATATGTGTCAGATCACTGATGATGACAACGAACTGAACGAATATAATGAATTTGACTGGTCTCTTAACGAAACAGTCATTAAATCGTCGTTCGAAGCCCTTAAAGTTGTCGAGCGGCTGGCAGAATTCGCACAATTTCGAGGTTTGGAAGAACTTTCCAATGCCATTTTTCGACTGTATCACAAATTCTTTCTCGTCTTGTTTAGTTGTTTTGACTCATAATCGTAAGTTTCAAGATTGTGTTTCGTCTTATAATGAGAATAGATATTCGATATTTTGCCACAAATCAAAGACAAAGTAAAATAAATACTATTTTTTACTTTATTTTACTTTACAAACTGTCATAGCCTAATGGAACAAATAATTAAAATTATTTGTTCCATTAGGCTATGACAGTTTGTTAGACTAGTTGCTGTTGTGTGAGTGAAAGTGTCAAGCATATTAAATAAAAACAGAATTATTCTATAACAATATGCAACCTTATAACGTACAAAATGAGTGAACCAATCAGAATACAAAATTACATATAATTAGATATAGGATTACATTTGACTTTTAAGGAGAGATCGGGCGGGGTGTTAGGAATATTAAAAGAGATACAGTGGAGGTGATCCTTAATTGCAATTTCGAAAGGGTTGAAAGCTGCTTTGACATTAACCTCGAGGATGTCTTTTGTCTTTTGCCAAGTATGACCAAGTATCTCAATTGCTTCATCAAATTGTCTTCGTAAATGTTCTCATGTAACTATACCGGCTGTTGATCATGTTGCTGTAAGGTGGCTCTCAACATGAAGGGACTTGCTTCGGCGCCGAACGGTACTCTGGTGTTAAACAGGAAACGGAAAGCATCACAATCCTCGTCTCGGATGCCAATCTGCAGGAATGCTTTCCGAATATCAGCAAGTAGAATGTGTATCATGTGTATCGTGTGTATCGTGTATCATGTGTGTATCATGTGTATCATGTGTATCATGATATCCGGATCATGATACCCATAGGAAGGGTTTGCAGTGGTGATCCTGTGTTCATGCAACCGTTTATACTGTTCGCTAGTGGGTGTGGCTTTGCGCTCGCGTCGAAAACCAACCTAGCATTGGTAGTGGTTGCATCTTCTCTGATAACTGGCTTGTGTGGCATGTAAAAGGTATACGTTCTCCGGTTGGTGTTTTTCGAGCTTTCTCAACAATACCTGTGGTTAGCTAGTTGTTCCTTCACTGTCTCGTCATCCCTCACTATATCCCTTCTTGCTTGTTCATTAGTTCCACCAAATTCGCTCCCTGGGATCCATGGGAAATTCGCCTTATATCTCAGCCATCTCATTTCACAATGTTCTATTTGTTAAAGTCCTCATAGATTTGTAGCTGGTCATACTGTCATATAGATAAGTTGGATCTTGGAAGCCCAGAGCAGATCAAGATTTTGGATCATAAGTGTTCCGACGATGGTGAAGAGCATCTGTAACAAGTGTGTCAAGGGTCGAAAGAAATTCAGGAAACTTTGCGGGCAATTCATGAAGGATTTACCAATTGAGAGATTGCAACCGTCGCCTGTGATGTTGGAAGCTGCTCAGATTGTCAATCAAAGACCAATTGGAAGACATCCTATACTAGCCCGGATGACGGTAGTTATCTCTGCCCAAATGATCTTCTCGGGAGAGCATCGCCAAACGTGCTGCCGGGACCATTTCAGCAAAGGTCTAGCCAGCAATTTCGGTTTGACTACATCCAGGAATTTGTAGAATGTTTTTGGAAGAAGTGGACACGAGATTACTTTCCCGGAATCATCGTTAGACAAAAATGGCATGTAGACAAAAGAAACGTCAAGTGGGAGATATCATCTTGATTTAAGAGGGCAATGTCGTACGTGGGGAATGGGGAATCATCGTTAGACAAAAATGGCATGTAGACAAAAGAAACGTCAAGTGGGAAATATCATCTTGATTTAAGAGGGCAATGTCGTACGTGGGGAATGGAGAATGGGTGTTATAACAGCGATCCACCCCATTGATGATAGCAAAGTCAGGAGAGTTTCGTACAAGAACCAGCGTAAAGACGAACCTCTTGGTCATTATTCGGGCGCGAAATTCACAAGCATTGAAAGAGCTGTACATACTAGACTGATTGTCCTTGTAGCGGCCGACCAATAGATAAGTCGAAACAGAAAGATGTCGATGAGATTTAAATAACCAAAATAGGTATTAGTTTGGCCTGGTGCGAGTGTTTCGTGCTGTTCCCTTAGAACATTAGTATTCGGTTCCGAACGATTCTGAAGATAATCGACATAAGTAACTATGCTGTTGCTCACCCTGAATATATATTGGTGGAGACTTCACATACTAAAATAATATAATTATATAAAATGAGCACCTCAAACACCTGATTACCGCATGAAATTAATTAAACAAATTTTTCCCGCATTATAATCATATTCATTTCTGCGTATTTCATTTCAGATCTACTACAATAAAACAATTTTTGATTCAGTGGATGAATTTATCAAGTCATACGAACTTAGAAACATCACAAAAGTGAATCATTCTGCTCCCGAAGAAAATGATCTCACATACTCCACTCTGAAAAGACGAGGAACACATCTTCAACCTTCACTACCATTACGTGAACCTGAACAATTTGAACCGGATGGTAGACGTTATACAGCAGAAAACAATCATATTGAATACATGGGATGGAGTTTTGATTTTCGTATTCGCACAACATCAGGTCCACAGTTGTTCGATATCAGATTTAATGGAGAGCGAATTGTGTACGAATTAAGCTTGCAAGAACCTGCATCGTTTTACAGTGCTTACTCTCCAACGCAATCGGCTGGTAACTATCTTGATACTGCCTGGGCCATTGGTGCTAATTTTGAACTTGTGAAAGGTGTTGACTGTCCTAAAACTGCAACATACTTTGATGTTGTATATTTCGCTGACTCCTCTCATCCGGGCACACGTCGTAATGCTGTTTGCGTCTTTGAACACAATCTGGGAATGCCTCTTCGCCGCCATTTTGAAAACGACTTTGAAGGTAGTTATGCTTTTTATGGAGGAATGCAAGGTACAGGGCTTGTTTTAAGAACGATATCTACACCATATAACTATGACTATGTATATGATTTTATATTTTATCCTAATGGAGTCATTGAAACGAAGATCTCTACTACAGGCTATTTGCTATCCACATTGTGGAGACCAGTAGAAGATGACTACGGCAATGAAGTACATAAAAATGTCGCTGGCACAATACATGATCATATCTTTCATTACAAAGTTGATCTAGACATTGCAGGTCGAAAAAACAGATTTGAAACTATAACCTCGACACTTGAAAACACCTCCTCATTGTGGTTTCCTAACACACGTCACGTTCAGAAAAGATTAATACATGATTTAAAGAGAACTGAATTGGACGCTGCTTACAAATTTGATTTCCAAAAACCATCGTATCTGAATTTTTATAACTCGGCGGAAAAGAATGCTCAGGGTGTCCGACGGGGATATCGTATTCAACACAACGGAATAATTCATCAATTATATCCAGAAAACTGGCAGTTTACAAATGGTTTCAGCTGGTCGCACTATCAACTTGCAGTAACAAAATACAAGAAAACCGAGGATAGGAGTTCATCTATGTATAACCAAAATGATCTGTACAATCCTGTCGTGGACTTCAAAAAGTTTATTATGGATAACGAAAGCATTGTAGATGAAGATTTAGTTTCATGGATAACTGTAGGTATCATGCATGTCCCTCATTCTGAAGATATTCCCAACACATCAACACCTGGTAATTATGCTGGGTTTTTTCTTCGGCCTTTCAATTATTTCAATGAAGATCCTTCCATAGCATCAAGAGATAGTGTTTTGATCACGCCAACTGACGGTGGTTCAAAGATTGACAGGTTTGGTAGACCTGAGGGTTCTCAGTGTGTCCCTCCAGACGAGCCGATGAATTACAACGGAAAGGAGTTATAGATTTATAATCATAACCTATTAATTATTGATTCATTAAAACATAGTTATAGAATTATTGATTTATTCATGATTAAAAAATGTAAGTGTAGCCTTGGGATCACAGATGGAATAGATATTATTTTGTAGGCTTAGAATGGATATACGACATTGGCGACAATGGACATTAAGTCAATTAGCAATTACTTTATCCTTAGGTCGATATGTGTCTGTGGTTTGAGCATAAATTCAAATATATACTTAACAATTTTATATAACACCTCGTTAAATTCTGATAATTTAATTTGCTGATTATGGTCACGTGATGTGGAATAAAAATTACAATTTTGCTAAATGTGCAATAGAACGCGTTCTATTGCACGCCCAGTCGTGCAATGCAACAAAACGTATAGTCCAAAAATGCATGGTTTGGTTCCATTCGTCAAAATCTTAATCGTAGCTCATGTACCCAAATCTTCGTAATGCCGAGGCCGATGGAATTAAATTCAAATGCACAATTTATGCGAAACAAAATAGCGGGTGTAAAAAACCTCAACAGCTGTGAAAAGACCGACTTTCATAGATCTTATGGAGAAATACGAACATATTCGAAGGAAGACATTGTAGCGGCCAGAAAACGAAGAGTATCCCATCCATGTGACATTGGGCGATGCTCCTATTGCAAAATAAGGACTGATCAAGTGTACAAGGGAAAACCGGAGGATGGATTGTTCATGGCAGCCAAGACTATGCAGACTCGTTCGTGAAAATAACTATGTTCGTGATCATAATTATTATGAGCATCTCTTTTCCTCAGATGTCTTGGTAGTAGAGGATAGAGAGGAAAGGATCAGTCGACAACGTATGCAGAACAGTACAAGACAACGTTACTAGGAAAGAAGGTGGAAAATATGAAATTGTCGTTCCGCGGATAGCAGGAACTGTAATGTCCAACACTACTGAAGAGCCCAGTAGGAAAAGACTCCACAATGTAAACAGGAAGTTGAAAGAAAATCAACACCTCTGGAAGAGATTCACAGTTGTTGAGGTCTGACACTTACACTGGTTAGGCCCTTAATTCATACTGCTGCCTCGTAGGCATGTCCCGATTGGGCTCGGCAACGTTTTAGCAACTTTTTGCGTTTGGAGCAACTTTTTTCGGTTCGAGCAACTTCAAGCAACTTTTTCCTTTTTGAGCAATTTTTGAGCAACTTTTCACCAGAGTTCAAACTTTACAGTATGAAATGTTTACATGTGCTAGACAACTTCATTTTCTTGCTTCTCACGAGCAAAGACCCTGGGTACGAGGTTGCTTCATTTTCATCTTTTTTTAAATTTTTGTATGACCTTTGTTTTGTTATTTGTAAAACTTTTGTAAAAAACGTTTTCTCTTTATAATTCCAAACAATTTATCCCTGCCTACGGAAATTGTATAAAGCTTTTAATTAGCGTATGTCGTGAAATGAACGTAAAGAGTGCAAACTTTTTGAATTTTAGTAACTGTTTTTATTTCGGGCAACTTTTGAGCAACTTTCATGCTTTTTAGAGGGCAACTTTTTTGTTTTATAGAGAGCAACTTTTCGGGATTTTATGAGCACAATCGGGACATGCCTACTGCTTCGACTGCTGCAGCCAATTGTTGCAGCCTGCATCTACACTGATTGAGATGATGACATGTTTGTTTTGTTGACAACTGACATAGGGTTCTGAAAACGTTAAAAAACGTGAGAATGCTATCGGTCTACCTCCTTATTTAGTTATTAGCATTATATTGTCTTATAATTCCTGCACCCTGCTTTGCGCGCTAGCTTGATAAAAATTAAACCTGTCAGACCTGTTTAGAATGCTGTGTTTGTCAGTCGTGGCGGTTGGCCGCAGAACAAATTAAAAAATAAATTGTAAATGTCATAAAGCATGGACTGAGTCAACATGTTCTAAAACACAGACTTCAATGCCGTTGGAAGTAATTTGTTATTGGGGGGGGAGGCTTGACCAAGGCCCAAGGGGGTCTGAGGGCATGCTTCCCCAGAAATATTTTACGTTTCCGAAGCCTCGGAAGAGCGTTTTCCGTGTTTCCTGAAAGGCATTTTCACCAAAGTTGTGAATATCTTGCATTTAAAAATTCAAGATTTTGTAATACACTTTGTAACTTTTTACAACTTCACCCCCCTTGGTTTGAAACAACATTTGCTCTGTATGCTATCAGAAGCATGAATGAATTGCTATTAATTTGTTCCTACTGATACATACACGATGTAAATGCAGGGTTTATTTTAACGTGCAGTTCTACACAAAATGTGCAGTTCCAAACCCATTTGTGCAGTTCTTAAAACTCAACTTTTGGACCCCTAAAATGGTACACTGACCGGAAGGTCGCCAAAATTAATTTCGGTCAGTGTACCATTTTAGGGGTCCAAAAACACTTGTATGTGCAGTTCTAAATTTTTCTTAGAATAAATCATGTATAAATGTAACAACAAACTGGTACGGATTAATGGATAATATAAGTTGATTGCAGTAATTGCCTGTGCAAGAAAGAAATAAAGTATGAAGAGAAATAGAATTGTCATTGGTGGGGAAATTATTGGGTGGGAGGGGGTCTCCTGCTTCTGACGGTTCTGGACTCGTTCCTTCTAAAGTTGAGTTGGGATTTCAATTTATGAAAGTGTCAGCGGGCTGTTTCACATTTTTTAATCTAATTAAATAAAAGCATTTTGACTACATTAGTCTGAGAAGCTAAAATTGTTCGCTTTGCTTCATTTACTTTCTTGCATCTGTGAGTCATCTCATCGAGACCATTAGGCCGTATGCTGTGACCTTGAAACTTTTCAGAAAATGCTGTGACCTAGAAAGCGATTTTCATTTCACCTGTCTTGGAACTAAAATATTTTTACGGGAACTAACACTTTCGAACACGCTGAGTTCAAATCCGAAAAGTTCCCGCTCTATAGACCTGCAGTTTTCTCACAAACTGCAATTTTATCTTCACTAATTTCACGACAACTTTTTTCATTGTTCAACGACACGGATCGATGACGACAAACGATCAATTTCTCAAAAAGATCAATTTCTATTAACCAGTCTACCTTTTAACAAAAGACCGGTTTTGCTCGAATCATTTTGAGTTATGTTATATTATGCGTGTTGGACATAAACAACATATCTTGTCTACAACTTTGGGAAGGTACAGATATAAAGCTTTCTGAAATCCTCAGTTCTGGCTCTATATCAATAAAATTACAAGGACGTTAATGCTAAGTCTTTTGCCTTTGGCTATGTTTCTGGACTGAGAAATAATTCCTTACATGTGGTCAAAATGTTTTATACAACGATGTAAAACGGTAGTTATAATATAGTTAATAAGCTTATTGTTGTTTTGTTGCCTTGGCGCGCAGATGGACCGCGTGAGGGGTCTGAGACTAAGACTTTTTGGCGCCAATAGATACAGTTTTATTAGTTAGTTTTGCATGTGCATGTATACGAGAGGTTATCAATAAAAGTGCAGGGGCGGCGCTACAGAGGGGGTGTGGAGGGGGTGGAACACCCTCCCCCCCACTCGTCACCAACTCGGCAAATCGTTACCTCAGTCGGCAAAACTGGATTGGCTAAAGATAACCACTGAAGAAACCAAAATTGACTTCCTGAATAATTGAATTCAAACCGAATATCACGGAAGGAATCCCGAGACACTGAATATATCACAAATAGGAATTATTGGCATACCAATAAAGATTTTATTGCTTCCTGCATCTAGTTTTAGAGATAGGGAGCTATTGTAATGGGACACGTGGGTATTAGCCCCGATAATTTGCAGTCACATGAATGTAATGCGCAGGAAGCGGATAGGAGTGGTCATAGGCGTACCTTTGGGGGGGGGGGGCGGTAGCCCCCCCAGTTTTTTGGGCAGTCGGGCAATATTCGATCAACAGTCGGGCAATTTTGGTGTATACTAAAAATAAAAGGGACAAATTCTGTCAATTTAGTCGAAATTTCATTCAATTTTGTGGTCAATTATGTCTTATTTGGAAAATTTGTGTGATGTTCCGAAAAATTTTGGTATGTCCGGAAAAAATTTTTGACCCCTAAAATGGGGGGGGGAGGTCGCCGAAATAATTTTTCCGGAAAAAATTTTTTAGGTACTAGTCGGGCACAATCCTGAAAAGTCGGGCAAATTTCTTTCCGCCCCCCTAATTTTTTCCTTCCGGTACGCCCATGGGAGTGGTGATATAATCTACAGCAGTATGCGCATCAGTTCATTCTACTCTTCAATCTGGTCGCGCAAGGTCAACTCTCTGGCTGAAGTCAATTGATATAAATAATCGATAAGGTATTCCTATTAATTTTTCCTTCTCCGATATTTTTATCATGTCAAGTTGTGTCCCAAGTATTTTAATTCTCGGTCATTCTTTTGTCCGTCGTTTGCGAGATGATTTAAATGCGCACTTTGATACACGTGCGGCTTCTAATTTTCATCTCCCAGAATCGGGCTATATTAATTTGTTAGGGACGGGTGGCCGAACCGTCGAAAAGGTCGTTAAATACGATTTGCAATCGGTGCATAAGTATAAGCCCGATATTGTAATCTTGGAGCTTGGGACTAACGATTTGTCGACCCACGCCCCCGAGGTGGTGGGGTCTAAAATCGACGACCTTGTGCATGCTTTAAGGCACACATACAACGTTCGGGTTGTTGGGGTGTGCCAGGTTATAAACCGCAATATTCCTTTTGCTCAAGGTGGCAAAACAAAGAAGTGATATGGTTGTTGTTAAAACCCCCAAGAACCCCTAGACCTTACAGTACAATCGTTGCTGCTGTTGTGTACTACCCTCCTGGTCAATCCGCCGAACAAGCAATCGATATGAATGAATACTTAACTACTTGTATAGATAGTCTCTTGCGCGAACGTCCTTCATCTGGAATTGTTATAGCTGGGGACTTCAATCAACTAAAATTAAGAGAACTATGTAACAGATTTAATTTAAAAAGATCTGTAACTTAAACCGACTAGAGGACACAACATTCTTGATCAAATCCTTATAAATATGCTCCCTCTTTTTGACACTGTTAGCCATCTCCCCCCAATCGGACGCTCCGACCACCAATGTCTTCTAATCAAGCCCATTAAAGACAGAAAACTCCGGTTACGTCAAAAAAATTAGATTGATGAAACGAGCAAATTTAAATGACCTCTCCCTGAATATGGCTTCTGAAGATTGGACTACTGTATATTCAGCACTGGATGTGGATGAGAAAGTATCAGCTTATAACTCCATTATAATCAAGATGCTTGACGAGTTCTTACCTGAAAAAACCATCAGAGTACATCACTCTGATAAACCGTGGATCACCGGTAATATTAAAATGCAAATCAAAGCTCGTCAGAAGGCCTTTTCTCGTGGTGATCAGCCAAGATACAAACAACTATGCGAGAAAGTGGCAAATCTTATAGCTAAAGCTAAAGCCACCTACTATCGGTCCAAGGCCTCAGAATTTCGTACCTCGAATCAATCGAAGTGGTATAACTGTATCTACTCTTTAGTAAATGCCGAAAACACAACCCACACCCAATTTCCACACGGGCCCGAAAACCTAGACTTATCCGACTTAGCTGAAAAACTTCAGAAAGCCTTCACTAAACCATGGTCGGACCGTTACACGAATGTCGCCTTTGAAATACCTGAAGTGAACCACCCACATAAGAATAACAAACCACCCCTTCCTTCTATTGGCCAAGTTAAAGCGGTCTTAAAACATCTTAATCCAAGAAAAGCAACTGGCATCGATAAGGTTCCTGCATGGATGCTCAAACAATACCACGAAGACCTAGCTCCTGTGGTTTATGACATTGTGTGCTGTAGTATAAGTCAATGTTGTTATCCATCACTCTACAAACATGCCCTAATTTCCCCTGTTCCTAAAGTGCAACCGCCGAGAGACATTAACAATGATTTCCGCCAGATATCAGTCTTACCCCATCTTGCCAAGATCCTGGAAAAGATCCAGCTCCAGTTAAATATTGAAGACCTGAAAATTAAGAATAACCAGCACGCGTTTACTCAACATCGAAGCACAGTCTCTGCGTTAATATCAACTACCCAAACCTGGTTTAATGCCACTGATTGTTCAAAAACAGGCAAAATGGGGGTTCATGCGGCCTTCATTGACTTTCGTAAGGCCTTCGACCTTGTGGATCACAATATTCTTTTGAACAAATTAGCAGCTATGAACATAAATAAACCCTTCTGGTTATGGATTAAAAGTTTCCTTTCCGGAAGAGTTCAACAAGTAAATCTCAATGGTACCTTATCATCCATTGCAACATGCCCGGCCGGAGTCCCGCAAGGCTCTGTAATATCTCCCATTCTTTTTAATACCTACATTGATGATTTGGAGGACGCCTTACCAGAACAACTAAAAGTCAGTACGAATAAGTATGCAGATGACTGCACACAACACCAAATAGTGAGCGTAGATTCTAATAGTAATTTACAACAATCTATCAATGAAGTAAATAACTGGGCGGTGTTAAATAAAATGGCAATTAATGCTAAAAAAACTAAGGACATGTGGATCTCTTTCACGGACGCTATACCTGAACCACCACGTCTTCGTATTGGAAATGAGTTAATAGAAAGGGTCAACGCTTTTAAATTACTTGGCGTGTCGTTCCAAAATAATCTAAAATGGAACGCACATGTTGAAGAGATTACACGTAAAGCAAATAAACGCCTTTACCATCTTAGAGAATGCAGGAAATCGCAGTTACCAGCTGAAGTCGGTATTATTACCTATCAATCCAAAATAAGACCAATTCTCGAGTATGCATCACCTGTCTGGGCGGGACTCCCTAATTACCTGCGAGATGAAATAGAGCGGGTCCAATCCAGGAGCTTAAGAATCCTTGGCCTGGAAAAAGATTACCTACCACCGTTGAACGAAAGAAGGGAAGAGGCAACTAGTCGAGAAGTTGATAGGTTTATGAACGATCCACACCATCCCTGTCGCAGTGTTTTGCCAAAATTAATTAACAATCAGTACAATTTAAGGAACATTGACCGGAATCGCAATATATCATTCTTCTCAGGAACTGAAAGGCATAAACATTCATTTTCAGGTAGAGCTTGTAAATATGTATAAATAGTTTTAACTTATTAGAAGAACTTATTAGATTAAAGAATTTATTAGTTTTAACTTCTTAGTTAGTTTTCTAAATTATCTTACAACAATTTGTAATATAAAGACATATCCGCAGCATATATACTTTCTTAAACAAGTAATTGTAAGTCCATTGTACTTTTTTATCTTAAGATGGATGAATAAAGCTATTATTATTAATGCCAAGGCCGCTATTTTGCGGCAATATTTGTCCGTGGTCCTTGCTGAGGAAAATGGGATTTTTACTTGGGATCATCGGGAATTTTTTCGAACCGATCGTGCATTGCTATCCTCCGATGGCGTGCATTGTAATGCCCACGGACAGTACTGTTTGAATCGGAGTTATCGTGGGGCTATCTTGAAAGCTCTCAAACTTTTGTAACCCGTGAACCCCGTTTTGTACTGTTGTTTCTGATCAATTTTGCTTTTTGTATTGACAACGCCCTAATTTGTGGAGGGCATCTTTTGTCACACTCTTTGATTATGCAGTATATATCCTCTCAGTACTTGGTGTTGATATATATTATGCTTATATTTGTTATATTATTATGGTCTAGAGCGACATGACTGTTTTCAGATGCCCACGTTGAGATTTCAACATTGCATGGGTTTTTCCTGCACAGGGCATATTCATGATTATCGAGCTGGTTATATATACGTATATAGAATGTGTTTCCCTATAGTAGTCTGTTTCGTCTTTTGTTCAGCTAACGTACATGTATGTATATGTCCTCGTACTTGCTTTGTGCCGTGCTGATATTTAATGTTAGGTATATATGACGGGCTGATCCTGTGTTTGGAAAAATGCATGTCTAAGTGGGATAGTGCAATTTATTGTTTTCAGATGCCCACAGTTGAAATCAATATATTGTGGGACGGTGCAGCATGTTGTTTTCAGATTGCCCGTTTTTATATTATTTTGCAGCGCTTTAAACGGATGATCTATTGCGGCTACCTTCGCTGTATGCCATGATTATTCCGCTGCGTTGTTTGTTTGTCAATGTTTAATGTGGTAGATATTGCAGCAATTCTTAAGGATGATCTTTTGCGGCTACCTTCGCTGTATGCCATGATTATTCCGCTGCGTTGTTTGTTCACGTTTTCGTGTTACTGCGTATACATTTATAGCTATACAAATATGCAACTATATCACGATTACGAATCGCTTCACCAGACGCAACCAGCAAACTTATTATTATTATTATAAATTTCCAAACTAGCAGTAACAACTGAATTACTTTGGAATTACAGGGTATAAGAACATAGGTATTCAATCTATTCTATATTTACAGATAAAAATAGGTAAGTTAGATAAAAATAACGATAATAATCTAAAGTTTACTTATTATTATAAGCACGAGACGCAGCAGGAATGCAACTGTTCGAAAAACGTTCAGTTCTACACCTAGGTACTAATAGGTTGGGATAAGACCTCAGATTATAAGTTTGAAGACTTTTAGGCGGTACTAAGGCATTCAGTTTATGAGTGGGTTCCAACATCTTCGAAAAAAGTCGCTTGCAAAGAACAGTTCTACGTTCGTAAAGAGTCATCAAGTTAGCTTTAAGCAAACATTCAGCATAGATAGTTCCAGGGAAAATAATTTTTAATGCCCTTTTTTTATTTTTTCAACTTGATCACTCAGGTAATGAGGAAGGCCATAATGCCACACCTGACAAGCATATTCGACAATTGGTCGAATATGTGTACAATAGGTTGAGATCAGAATATGAGAAGGTAAAGCATTTCTTTTAAGAAGGCGCAGACCGTACAAACGCTTCACGGCTTTCTTGCAAATGTAGTCAATATGGCAGTTCCATTTGAGGTCGTCCGAAAGGACAACGCCCAATAGTTTGGCCTCGGAAACGACGTCGACCTCTTGACCGCCAATGGTAATAGGGGCAATCGATGGAGTAAGCTTAGAAAAGCAGACACGCAATTCTTTGGTCTTTGCTACGTTTAACTTCATATTATTGTCTGATGACCATTCAGAGCAGCTGATGATGTTAGCGGGTAACTGGGAAGGGGGATTGTTTGATATTATTTCCCAAAGGCTAGTATCATCGACAAATTTAACAGTTTCATCCGCTACAGCCAAGTCATTTATCATGCTCAAAAATAATAGCGGGCCAAGCTTCGTTCCTTGTGGGACGCCGGCGTTTAAAAACTTCCACTCAGAAAAGAACTGACCAACACGGGTTCTTTGTTGTCTGCCTGTTAGGAAGTTTGCGATCCAGTTAAGTAACACGGGATGAATTTCCATGTCTTTCAATTTTTCCAACAGAATGTTATGATCTAATCTATCAAACGCCTTGGAAAAATCAAGTAAACAAATCCGTATAGTGTTACCTTGTTTGTCAGCTGCTTCAAACCATTTATGTAGCATGTAGATTAATGCCATACTAGTGCTTGAACCCTTAAGCGAACCAAATTGCAAGGAATCATTTTTTTTTGAGACGGAGTCAAGTAGCCATTTGTAGGGAAAGGATTCAAGAATCTTGCTGATAATTGGTGTGAGGGAAATTGGTCTGAAGTCAGAATCAACATCTTTAGGAGGCGAAGATTTTTGAACTGGTGTAATATTTGCTGCCTTCCATATTGAGGGAACAAATCCTTCACGAACTGATGAATTAAAAATAGAACACAAAGGTCGACACAACACTGAAGCGTTTTCCCGGAGAAGCCAAGAAGGAATTTCATCGGGACCAGCAGATGAATGAAGTTTAGATGATAATAGGGCCTTTTCAGTCTCCTCGACAGAGATGCAGAAATCATCTGGAATGTCATTTGTGGGAAGGGGGAGCCAGTTTAGATTGGGTAAGGAGGACCAACGAACTTGTCGTTGAGCAAATTTGCTAAATCGGCATCAGAGTAGGATTTACCTTGGAACATCATTGTAGATACATTCTTAGAAGACTGAAGACCAGCAATATTCTTCACCGCTGACCACCATTTACGAGAATCGGACTGTTGAACGCCCGCGATACTTTTATTGTAGTAATTTAGTCGTGCCTTCTTGCAAAGTGCATTGACTTTGTTTCGATAGAATCTGAACATCAGGTTATTGCCAGCAGCCCATGTTGTCTGCCGCTTGGAAATGAGAGATTTTATTTCGGAAATAATCCAGGGCTTGTCACTAGAATCAATTTTGATTTGTTTCCAAGGCAAATGTTCGTTTATGATATTATCTACGATGGTGGAAAAATACTGGAACTGCTCGTCACAAGATTCCATATGGTGCAAAGGTAACCAATTAACTTTCGACAGATGATCGCTAACAATTCGACGATTGGTTGGGCGAGAGTCTCGTACTAAACGTGTAGACCTTGTGCCACCATAAGAGTTAGCTGGAAGAGGTTTAAGAACGATGGAATTATGATCGGAATGTCCAATTGGAGAAATTACCAGGGCAGAATTATAAAATTTAGAAATGTTGGTAAATATTTTATCTAAAATATTCTTTCCTCTAGTAGCGTCTTTGACTAACTGCTCGAGGTTAAAGGAACTGCATAACTGGCGATGTTTAAATTGGTTAAAATCTCCGGCCAAAATAATTCCTGCACCGGGATTGGTGGAAAGGACAGAATCAATTGATTCGGTAAGGTGTGAAAGAAGGGCTTTATCGTCACTTCCAGGTGGATGGTACACGATTCCCAATACAATTGAATTTAAACCACGAGGCAAGCGGTGAGGTTTTAAGAGTAACCAAAGCGACTCATATTCGTGACTTTCAATCTCTTTAAGAAGAATGAAAGGAAGCATGTCCTTTACAAAGACACAGACTCCACCTCCTCGTCTGCCGTCAGAACGATCATGCCTCAGTGAGGAATAACCGCATAAATCTATTGCTGAATTGGGAACATTTGAAGAAAGCCACGTTTCGGTAACAACGACAATGTCTGATGTATAGGATTTTACTGTAGCAGACAGTTCGTCAATCTTGCTGATCAGCGATCTTGAATTAGAAACAAATAAATTCGGTAGAGAAGAGAGTAAGGGCGTTTTTTTGGTTTGGTGGCCACTAATGTAAATTAAATTATTTCTACGGTTGAAACTTTTCCCTGACGGGTAATAACTTGAACGGGTCACTCTCGTATGACGATGGGAAACTCGGACGGGTATAGTATAGGACGGCAATGTTACATTCTGGTTATCCGGCTGACCAGATCCAAATGTCTGTACCAATCCGGAGCACGGTGGTACGAACGCCGTATCCGAAAATTTTGATGTGCTACGCCTCTTGGGGGAGTAACAGGTGTACGCATCAGAAGGGAATGAATACCCTTTTGCGATCGTGGGGGTTTCGCGAGTCCATTCTGTAATTTCTTAAAATGAGTTTTTCCTTGTTTGTTCGCTTTGCCTTTTATTTCATCATGTTGGTTTAGCTGTTTAGGAAACTGCTCAATCAAAGGGAGTCGACTTATCCAATCAGAATAACTTAGTTTATGGTGTTTATCGTAGGGTTTACTTGGCTTGCCGACATAATGCGTGATTCCTTCTGGATTAAGTAATTTCGATTTAGTGTATGTTGTTGTATGCTTGGTTGATTTAGGCCCTTTATGTGATAGGCTATCATTTTCGCTCGGTTGGGAACATTCAGTTGGACTTCGCAATAAGGCAGCACATTGATTGTCAATAACAGGTATGTGACACTCGGCATTGTTATAACTAATTTCTCGATTATTCTCTGCCATAAAAGAAACATTGGTACCGCTAATATCTGGTGCGGGCACTAAATTTGGTTCTGTCTGAAGAGAAGCGTAGGTGTCTTTAAACTCGGCAACTTGAAGATCGTTAAATGAGCGGTTATTGTTATCTTGATGTTCGGTTTGGCTTTGTTTAGAAATTGCCAACTTTGTACGATATGAATTATAATTAAAGGAGACAAACTTCTCATCAATGTGGTTAGGTTTAATATTGTTCGTTGTCTCCAAATTTATGCACATATTTGAGGCTCGTAGTTGGTCATTAATCTTTTCAACAG